TCCTGGTACTTATCCTCTCCCGCCCGTACCTCCAGCCCCTCCTAGTGTTGCTGTCCTTCGCCTCCCAATGCTGCTTACCTTCCCCTTGCAGCTGTGGCCAAGGATGGGGAGGATGCAGCCCATGCTGCCTCCGGCCCCAGCCCAGCCATGCGGCGGTGCTGGCAGCAGAAGCTTTGGCCCTGGAGCAGGGCCCGTGCTATCACCACTGGTGCATAATTGAGCAGGAACCAGAGGTTGCGTATCCTGCATGTTCCTTGCCCCTGGCCGGTAGAGTTGAGCTGGAGCCAGAGCTGCAAGGGGAAGCGGAGGCAGGGAGCAAAGGCAGGCAGGAGAAGCAGAGGCTGCAGGGGGCAGGTAGCAGCGGGGATATCAGCTGAAGCTACAACTGGCCGCCTCCTCCCCTGCCCATACTTGAATCTAAGACGAGGGGCTTTTTTCTTCCTCTGTGCTGAACGGGTGGAGGGAGGAAATCCCTCCCTCTACCTGAACGGGTGGAGGGAGGAAATCTAAAAATTTGAGTAAATACAGTAATAAGGTAGGACTTTCTAGGTTCTGAAAGTTATCTAGAGAAAATTTTTATGTGCAAGTGAAGACCTGGTCCCACTGTAGGCAAAGGCATACCTCCCACAGACCCAGAGCTGGGATTACACCTATTTTGGATTAATTTTTGAATATCAATTTTAATCTGTCTAATCCTCAATTTACCTTTATTTCAGCATCGGAAAGCATTCCTGCTTGAGTAAACTTTATTACAACTTCTTCCACCTTCTAGAAATGATGCTTTCAAGGTAGTCTGCATGCAAGGAAATTTGAAAATGTATCATGTAGACCTTCCGGTACCTTTTACCATCGGTGTTTGTTACGTTGGAGACCCAACTTGTCTCCCCCTCGTAAAGTTGTCTAGTGTTTTGTCTACAATTTCCCCCCCCAGTTGTCCAAACTTCTAGGTCAGCTACTTCTCTATATGGCTTTTGTGCAAATAACAATAAATCTGGACTTCCCCCTGTTTAAATGGGAAGCTTTTAAAATGCTGACAATAGTGGAGGATTCCTGTTCCATAAATAGGGAAATTCCCTTTTGTCTTTCCTACTGAGCTTTCTACTTTGATGGCTATGGGTCCAATAAGTGACTTGTTCATGATTTGCACACATACTGGGTTATACTTTACATCTCTGAAGTTGTCAGATCCTTGTAGCTGTGCTACTTTTTGAAGGCCTACGTTCAGTCCTGTGAACTTGATCGTGCCCTTAAATGTAAACTTCCAGGCTTTCGCTAGGGAACTCTGGAAGATGATCGTGTAGTCCTGGAACCTGAACTCCATCCTCCTGCAGTTGCTTTCAGGCAATCCTGCAGGGTGAATTCCATTTAATGAGCTCCTGTGAAAACAAAATACGACGTTTCTACAGATTAGGTAGAGTTTTGAAATTCCAGGACTGTAATTTCATGAACAGATGGAAGACATTCATGCCTAAAGAGAAGAAATGATCTGCCCAGCAATATAATCTCACTGGGATGTTCTCTTGTGGGTCTTCATAAGTCTGTCTTCCTCTGGGAAATCCCATTCCCAAATGATTGCCTGTTCACATTCCTAGCTACAGGAGTAAGAACTATGATCATTCTTTGCAAATTAAAAATTTGCAGCACTTTCATAAAGTTTGTGGTAGCAATCTGGCTTGGTTGCAGCTGTCCAGGGCCAGGACCTATACCTATACTAATTTCAAATACAGAGGGATCCTTCTGAGGTCTGAAATATGCTTCAATCATACACAAGTAGGCAGGAGGGCTCCAGGAGCTGCCATGCATTATCTAAGTTTAGGCAGGGAAAAATGCTTCTGCAATTTACATATTACAATGCTGTTGTGGCATGATGCAACGAAAGCTAATTTAAAAATGGGAGGGAAATGCTGCCAGTATGTGGTTTACCGTTTGGCTCAAGTTTTAATCAAATACAACTATATTTCCTCTGTTTCCCTTTTGCGACAAGGACAAGAGAAAAGAAGCTCTAAACTGTATAAACTGGAGAGGCCATTTGCTTTATAGAACATGCATGCAGCCTTAGTAAGCTTAATCATCTCCAGGGTTAAAGCTGCTGAGCAAGGCTTTTTGTTTTTGTTTTTAATTACAGTTATAGGTGACTGCCTAAATCCTGTTTTTAACTGGGCCAGGCTGTACAGTCACCTGAACTCCTTAGGTCCTTACTTTGACAGCAGGATTCAAAAAACATCATATTTAGTGTTTTCCTACTGGCAAATGATTGTGGCTCTCCACTCGGCAAGCTAACTATTTTAAACTCTGTTCTGAGACGCCTAGCTCTGTGCTGCACTGGGAGCCTCGGGCTCTCATTCAAGCTTCTAGGTCCCATGCCAGGGACAGATGCTTCTGCATTCAGCATCACCGAGCCCAGGTCCTCGATTTGATCTAGCCCTAAATGCCTGTCGTACTGTGATAGTAGCACGATCAAACAGTCTGACTTAGTGGTAAAATGTACCACATTTACTTAAACTGAAGATGAGATTTTACACCCTCCCTCCATTACTAAGGGGGGCACCCAGCATCTTGGATTTGAGTACCAGCCTGGGGTACTTGTGTAGTGGGGTACGGGGCCTGTATGTGTGCGAGGAGGGGAGGCGGGGAGTATGGCAAAGACCATGCAACAATTCCCTCCCCCACCTTACTTCCAGTTCTGGCTCCAGCTCATCTGGGCCCAGAGCTACCACCATCGCTGACTCTTCTGGAGCCAGAGCTACTGCCCAGAAGGTAAGTGGTATGGGGGAGGTGTAAGGGAGAGAAGAGGCAAGCAACAGGTGCGGGGGGTGGGGAGGCAGGCACTGGAAATGGCAGGGGGGTGGGCACAGGTGAGCTGGGGGTCTGGCCTTTTGTGCCCCTCCACTGTTTTGGGGTCGAGGGCAAATTAGGACAACCCTCCAATAATTAGATGCTATCTATGGAAGATTGTAACAACTTCCTAATTTTCAGTGTACAGAATCTAATTATTAGACAGTTGTCTTATATTCAAAGTTGTCTTGGATTTGGGCGCATATAGTAGTGTCTTATTCAAACTAAGGTAGGGCCAACCTTCTTTTGCTTAAGGACTTTCTAGTGCAGATGAAGTGTGCAGTGAACAACTGTTTAAACAAGAGAAACCATTCTAGCTCCATGTTGTTCTCTAATCTACTAGAAGCAAAAACAAACCAGAAAATCCAAAGGGATTTGGCAGCTCCATTTCATTACTTTTCCCATAGCCTTTACCATGCATAACTTAAATTTTGTTTATCTAGTGTTACAAAATGCTGCTTTCCAAACATAAAGGGAGACAGGCCTTTTCCACTACAGTGTGTATAGCTGCCCACAAGCCTTTTCACAATAACATAAAGGGGCAACCCAAAAAAAGGTCTGGGGTGAATATAACATTATAGGCTAGAGTCAGATGAGGACTGGGCACGTACAAGCCTTGCTAGGGTCTGAGCCCAACACTGGAGCGCTATGGCGATCACTACTGCCTACCATGCTGTCTGGCTCTAGGGCAGATATAATGGTTCTCTTGGCAAAATCTCCAACACACCTCGGCTTATGTTTCTGGGCATG